CAACGTTTTCAATCCATATTCTAGACCACATCATGTCTTCAAAGGATCGATCCAATCTCGTTGCTCCAAGAGGCGTGCATCCGCCAGAAGAAAATCCATATTACAATAGCGCTCAAGCTAACGAGAAAACTGAGGATGAATCGAATCAATCTTATATCTCCAATGTAAAAGATAAAATTCAAGGCGCCGTTCACACCACTGCTCAAAAATTAAATTTGGAACCAAGAGAACGAAATCCAGAGGCCGCTCATCAAGACGCGAAAACAAATCCTGAATGATATGTATCGAACATTTTACTATTTGCACATCCACCTCGAATTTAAGAATTAGTTTCTTTCGAGAATTGGAATTAAATGATAATATATGTATATATTAAATTTCGCTTATACATTGCAATCATTAAATATATTCTTTTACGAAGTTAAATGAATTCTATGAGCAAAGTTTTTACGTATAAAAATATACATTATATGGCTTAGTCAAATATCGCTATATGAGATTTAATGCATAACGTAATTTATTTTTAATACGTAAAAATATAACATCGAGAACGATGGTCTCGGGTTCAATTCGCGAAAACATTTTTTGCGCTGACAGTTGTAGAACGCATACACTACATTTTTGACATTTTACACTAAGACATGGGATTATTGGATGAGCGAGATGACATAATCCTTTTATGCATTCCTAAATTATAGAATGGCGGGCACTTTTGACAGTTGCCCGTGTAATTTGAATCACACTCGTTCTGGCGCCCGTAAACGTAAGCACTGCTGATGATGAGGTTTCTTCTATTTTCAACCCGAGTTTATCCATCAATTCTTTCTTTTTTTAAAGCTCTTATAGAGGTGGATGAAGATGAATTAGCGACAACTGTGTTGATTTCTTCGGTGCCTTAATTCTTGGCGCTACTAGCATCCAAGGGTTATCGATAATTTGGTATACCCACTATTCTTTCGATGCTTTCTTTTTGTGTGATCCATGGATAATGGATCTTCGTACCATCTCCGTTCTAATAAGATCGGGCAACTTGATCAAAATCGGATAATATATTAGATCATTTTTTGAAAATCGATAGAATTAATTCTGGTTATTTCACATATCATATTTTAAAGGAACGAACTCTTCTCGATATAACCAATAGTGGTCAAAAATGAAATTTTTAGAAAGTTTTGTAAGAAAGAAATCGAATTTCAACGTTACTTTTTATTTCCATTCGTTTTCCAAAAAATTGCAAACAACATGC